AAACCGATTACGTCAACAGTAGTAAGAGTAAGAAGGAGAAAATTATAGAGCAATTAATTTTTAAACCTTTACAGTGCAAGGCTAAGCAGACAAAAACGAGATAAGTGGAATCAGAAAAAAAAATTTATATTAAACGAAGTGCAATTATAATGAAATTAGTTGTCCTCCGCGCAATTAATCAAACGTGTGACAGATTTATAAATTAGTAAAAATATAGTCACGCGCGCGGAATTACGAAATAAAATATAAAATATAAAAATATAAAAATAAAATATAAAATATAAAATATAAAAATATAAAAATAAAATATAAAATATAAATCGCAATTTTTTAATCTTAAAATGAGACTCAAGCTGATTAAACAGCTCTCCTTTTGACGAGATGTGCGATTTCGATCTTTGTTGCAACACTGAATGCCTCATCTGGATGTGCAAGGAAAAAACATTTGTATTTCAAATTGCTGCGAACTAGAATGGCAAATGACTCATCCTCAGTCCATGCAACACCGGTTCGCGTGCCTTTCAGAGAAAAAGAGTATCATTTTGTCGCATGTAAAAAAACAGACGATTTATAAGAATTGTTCATTGAAAAGAAGACTAAAGCGTAAATAAATCAAAACGAGTTTATAAAATATAATTGAGAAAACATAAAAAGATAAAAAGGTCAAAAAATCATAAAAAGGCAAAATAAAAAATATCCTTTCGAACATAAAATAATATTTTATTTATGTTTAATATAATTTATTTTGTTTAAAAATAATAATTATATTATTTTATTATTTGTCTTTTGTAATAAAATCTCAATATAATATATACTGAAAATTTCCGTAATTATATTTTTATCGAATCAAGTTGGAAAACAAAGAGATATATCCTTGTATGTAATTTATTATCAAATATGATATGATTAATACACTCATTCTAGAATGCTTTTATTAGCAACTGTAATTGGCTGGCGCCATCTACTCTTGATTAACGGGAAGGTAGAGAGGATATTTAAGAGTATGATATTTCTCCGGTGAACGGAATAGAAACATTCTTTCATATAGCCGACAAGACGGAGCAATTGCGTTGTACTCCATAGAGACAACACGTATGGATTAAATCGCAGCTGTATATCATACCGTTACGCAAATAAGATTTTTATAAACTAAAACCGCAATGCTATAAATTTAACATTTTGTATAAAACCAAAATTAATTTATAATCGCACGAAAATCATACTTGTCTGAAAAGAGAACTAATTAAAAGTATGAATTATTAAATTAATTAAAATTGTCACAAATATAAATTATTATTGCATGAATCGTAATTAATCATAATTAATGCAAATATTTTATTTCGTAAGTTTTATATAATTATAGATATAAAATATTAAAAAATATAAATAATATTAAAAAATAAATATTAAAATATTAAAAAATGTAAATAATAAAAAGATAAAATATTAAAAAATATATAAATGCAAGTACTATAAAATTTAATTTTTTCGAGGTGTTGTTTTAATATATCATGAGAACATCTGATACATGTTTATCCTTGGGAGAATAAAACTGTCGTGAAATATAGTGCCGCAATCGTAAAACTTTATCGCGCAAATTGCGATCGCTGCTCAATTGCAAGTCACGTACTGCAAGAAGGAAACGCGCGGTATGTTTGCGGGTTATCGAGTTACCCGGCTTCTCTTTGACACCTACGCGAAGAAGTGGTGGCCCGCTCACCTTGACGACCGAAGATAAATAGCGACTTTGCATATATGTCAGGAAAGGGTATATCCCCCTTGAAAAAGTGACAATGCTTACACAAACACGCGTGTCACGTTACAGATGAATTACGGATGAGTTCACATGTCAATTATGTTCGCGTCTGTAAAAGCGTTTGAAAATTTTGGAAGGTCACGAAGGCTCGATTATGCCACTCATCTAATTCAAATCAGCTTCATTTCACGGCCCCATTATTATGAATATTAACGATCGTGAGGTGGCTTCTACATGATTAAGCGGATGACGATCGAAAAATCTCGGAAGAGCGCCCACGAAATGCCATTTTTGTCAATAACGCGACTCGTCCTCTAATTGCATGCGATGATAACATCGGCGCTCTTATATATTTACGTGCATTTGCATTCCACAGCTGCGTCATTTGCGTCAACGTAATCTAGCATCGGACGAGAATGGGCATTAGAATTTCGAGTGTAGGTGTTCAAAGGTCTCGTCGTATTATTGCATTAGCCACTGCAGTTTATTCATAGAACGTTAATCGATCGCACATAAAATCTTCCTTCCAAATTAAATGGTATTTAAAATATATCATGTTGAAAAAAAAACTATCATTAAATAAATTCAATAAATCTAACTGTAAAGTAGCATTAAGATTTTAATAAATTAAATTGCAGAGATGGATTATATTATATGAAAATTATGTGAAAATATAAAGTAAATATAAAGTAAGTAAATATAAAGTAAAAAGAAAATATAAATATTAAGTAGTTTATGCGTAGTCATCGGGATAATTCAATAATTAAATTTTCACTGAAGAGAAACCGCCTGCAACTGTTGCCTTTATTAATTCGAGAATCGAGTACACTGCTGTTGTACGAGATTCGCAAATGAGTATTCAGCATGGTATGTCAACATGAACTCTTAGCGATTCGTTAGAGCTCAAAGACAAACGGATGAAAGTAAAGAACCTAAGTAAGTAAACTGTGACACACTTATGTAAGCACAACGTTTCAATTATCGTTATAATTACCGGAATTTCCGCTATTCTCTGACAGTTTGATATATTGCACTGTTATTATTCATGATCGTACTTTTTACGTAAATGAAAGAAAGAAGTGCACGAAATTGAACCAGGATCCTTTCGCAGTTCATGAAAGACAAATAAATAATTTAAATAAAATCTGGCAGTGATAAAAATCGGTGAATGCATATTAAAGGTAGCGCGAATTCGTCTTTAATAATTAAGAAGACAAATGATGCGCTGGGAATTATAAAACGCGTCGTTTATAGTCACCGAGCTTATCCACACCTAGCTGACGTCACGGCACTTCCGCGGAATTATTACGTTACATAATGCGCCGATATCGAGGCCGCTGAATTCAGAGCAGTAATGAGTTCTTTTGCGAAAATAAACCATCGATCTTATCATTCAACATTGCTTCATAGTGTTGCTTCTCTCATCAATGCAGTTAGTCACGAAAATATGCTTCACATGTGCAAGATAAATTAATAATATTGCAACATTTTGTTGCAGGATTTTGTTTGCAGAAAGTAATCAAACTATACGCATCATAAAAAATAATTTTTTCAGACAATTGTAACAGAGAGTTAAAATTATTAAAAATGTAAATGACTTGAGATCAGTTTCCCAGGTCAACTCTTCAGTCATACTCTATATATTGAGATTTCAAGATTAAACGGACAGAAGGAATGATATGTAGTACGTGCGCGATGAGAACAGATGAAAAATAATATGATAAATGAAATGATAAATGAAGATCAAATGTAAACATTCATCATTATTTTCCAAAGAGACACGTTCGCGAAAATTTGTAGCCGAATGTTGGCATCACTTACTCATTTGTCACGTTTGTTCAGTAAATAAAGTTATTTGGCTCCTTTTTTCATCCCGATATTTCCGAGAATAGGAACAGTAATTGACATGCAAATTTTCGGCTAACACTGTGCTATTGTTGTATTATATCGCGCGGAAACGCGCAATTTCATATTACGTACGGACATGAATCGAATATCGCGTATTCAAGAGACATTAATGCAATGAATCGCAGTATTAAAAACGAAAAAAATTAGGATATACAAATTTTGAAGTAATACAAAAAAATTAAGATGTACTATATTAATGTATATTCTATAAATTAAGACATATTAATAAAATATGCTTAAAAAAATTACCAAAATGTTCGGTATAAAAATACGCTTCGAAAAAATAAATAACAGAAATAATAAAAAATATAATAAAGAATATAAGAAATATAAGACCTATCGAGTCGATAAAGAAGAAGATTATCCCATAGCTAATCGACATTGATGAGGCAATTACGATGTTTAATTGACAATTTCTTAATAACCGCGACTAATCAATAACGAGAAGAGAATTAAGTCTTAAATAGATCGGCAATAAAATAGAGAACCTACATACTTCTCTTATAAACAACTGGAAAAATTCGTATTAGTTCCTATAAAGTTCATACAAATTGCAAAATAAACACAAAGCTTTAATAATGCATTTGCAGAAATAATCTGTTAAAAATATTATTTGTTAAAGATACTAACACATGAGAAATTACAGACCAAAATCTTCATTTTTTTATATGTATATATTACAAAAAATTTTTTTGCTTTGATATCCAATTTATAAAGTGAGAAATAATTTTAAACTTTAATAATTCTACCATTTTACAAAAAAAAAAACGTCAACAATTATTATTTAAAATTATTCAGGTTTTTATACGATATTTATCGACGTATTAGTCTTATATTGAACTTTAAACTTCTGCTTGGTGTAAAAATGGAGGGAGTAACAAGCTTAAAATTTCTTATAAGTTACCGGAAATGATATACAAGGAGTCTTAGGTAGACTTTACGTGCCCGGTATTTCAATCGATTCGCGGGAAATGTGCGAAAGCCGGTTTCTGTAGCGAACGACACTATAACCGAGCATAAACGAGTTATAGGTTTTACGTCAAAGTCTACGGAAATAAGAAAGGACGGATAAGAAAGTTGGCAAGTCATTGCGAGGCGTCAGTGGCGAATTAACATGCAATTTTTATAAGGATGTGACAACCGGTATATTATCAAAAATATAGTGATAAAATGAGATCGATGTTTACGATTTATGTTCATGAGATAATTGAATGATTAATTATTAAATAATTTAATGTTATAAATGCAATATTATACTATTGCAAATAAAGTAGCCAGAGATTCGTGGATATAAAATTATTGCATAAAGCAACATAATATTTAACAATTAACTCACCTTTGATTTGATGATATCATAATGTCCCTCCGACATCCTTGAATCATAAATGCCACCTGACATCGAATTCTGTCTCCTGCAACAATCAATACACACTTCATGTTATAAAAATAAATAATTTTAGAAAGAAATATAGAAAGATATAATAAATATAAAATGTAATAAGTATAATAATAAAAAAGAATGAAAATTATTGTAAATATATTAGGCAACATAAAATATGGAAAAGCAACGAACTGAAAGGGATTTAAGAATTTATTGCTGCGGGGGATCAGAAAGAAAGCCATTCACTGTAAGCACTATCGATATATTAAATGATGCAATGCCTCGGACAGAGCCATAAATTTTCACAGCAGGATTATGGGGAGATTTTTATGGCGGTGTAGCATGTGAAAACTTACGCGATTGGATCTGATCCATTGATCGTGGGCTTCGGCGACTGGATTCCAGACCGGACAGGTGTACTCGTGTGAACCGGCGAGGGTCCTTTGCTCCCCAATGGTTGTTTAATGCTGCAAAGGCCAGAATGAATGCAAACGATAATTCCCGACAGTCAAGTCTCGTCAATTTCATGCACGCCATCATAAATTCTCTTATAAAGCACGAGGAATTTACAACCAAAACTGCTATGATCGCGTCTGTCGCTCATTAACCTTCCGTTTCAGTTGACATTTTTCGTCCTGACCGAGACAATCTCGCTGTCAAACCGGCGCAAATCCAGCGAGAGATTACGCGCAATAACTGTGTATATAATTGCTAGACACATAAAACATGTCCAAATCTCAGAAGCAGACAGATGTAAAATATAAAATTATATTTTATTTTATTATATAATTTTATTTAATTATTAATTGTTTTATTATTTAATTATATAATTATTTTCTTATTTCTTTCTTTCAGGAAATGTTCGAGATGGATGACATTTCCAAGATAAATCAAAAAATAAAAATAAATTGCGTGTAAATTATTGGAATTTAAATGTAAAATAATACATTGATTGTTGACATTTATTATTTAATGATTTTTGTTCAAGAAAATAAAATTTTTTTTTATTATTGTTAAATTATTGTAGATAATATATTGCTGCTATTTAAATTACAAAGACTTTCTTTATCAAATCATTATGGATAATTCGATATCCTGTTAAAGCATCTGTTCTTTTCCGTTTCTGAAGAATGGACCTGGGAATTAATCATGACCGCGATTTTCGTACATCAAACACAAATGGAGAAGTTCGAGAAATTGCGAGACTTCCTCGATTATTCAAGCAAGACGTGATTTATCGGGATTCGTTGTCATCCTTCGACTTCAAACATAGCTATCTTGACCTTTTCGAATTTATGTTCGCCTTACCTTCTGGCGATGCATCTATAGAGGATTAGAAACTATCTCTGAAGTGACTTATGCACGAACAGCGTGTGAATTCGCGAGAAAAGTTATTCATTCCCCGTGAAATTGGATATACGTGAATGTTTTGAAAAAAAAAAAAAAACACTGACATCTCAATTTTCTCGAAACCTCGTATTTTTTATCGGCTACAAATTGACGCAGTTATTCACGTCGCCTAAAGGCAAATCTTACTGCTCCCTTATAATAATGTTTGATATATAAAATAACCGGCAATTTTTGAATATAACGGTTTGATTTACCGACATATCCTATAAATCGCTGAAACAATTTCCAGTCGATCATGGCTCAGTTTTCGTTACCGTTATACAAAATCGCGCTGCATCATGGCGCGTGCTGTGTTCTCAATCGAGCTAACGTTTTCCAATGTGACATGAGCTCTCAATGCACAGCTTCAAGTTTTTACTAAAAGTGCGGCTTATTAGTTACACAGTATAAAGATTACTGCTGGATTCGTGGAAATCGTGATGATGGTTAATTAGTACTTAAAATTACTAATGATGTTCTTTGTCAATGCATATTTTCTAATATTTAATTAATTTTCTAATTAATTGATATGTAGTTAATACGTTCATTTAATTAATAAATACGTAAAAAGAAACATACATGAATTATAATTATAATGTATGATTATAATACCAAATATACTAATATTTAATTAATCTAAAATTGCGTGATGTATCAGATTTCATATTTTATTATTAAATATTTTAAAAATTATTCCTTGAATAATCTATTCGGGTATATTTAAAAAATTCTTATTTAAAAAAAATTCAAACAATTTGCAGCTTTCTAAAAATACTCGGGCACAAATAATTCAAGAAATAATTTTTAAATACCTGTACTCTTTGGTATATTAAATGCTAATTGAAGCTGAATTATCTTCGAATTTAATGAAATTTTTCAGAGTAACTTTATTTGATATTTATCGAATTACTGAGGAAAATTTAATTCTGTCAAATAACTATATTGCAGCACCTGTCAGCGGGCTAAGCGAGCAATATTTACCGGTTTATGCACGGCGGCGTGGAACCAACACTCCTGAGACTGCACGTGCTGCTGTGACTGTTCTGTTTACTATAAATCGGCCGATTGTTAGGAGGCTGCACGCAGATCCGTTCGGCGATACGGAATCGCGGCGTCGTCGGCTTGTGATAAATCATGCTTCCTCGCAAATCGCGACTTCACGCCTTCATCACGTCCACGAGAGAGACTTCCTTCCGCCAACGAATTGCGTCCAAGTCGAGCAGTCGCGGAGGCTCGAGGGGGTCCGATTTAGCTGGCGCTAAATCGGAATACACTTGGCGATCGAACTCAATTCTCGGTACCGCGAAATGTAAAAAGAAAGAAAAAAAGGACGTGCTCGACGCCGACTTGACCGCTCGAGAAGCCGCGGAATTCGCGTTCGAGATGCAAGCGGTATTACGTTCACAGTTGCAACCAAGAGTGATACCGGATCGATACGGACTGGCTGGACCGACTAGAGACTCTCGACGTGGAATATCGCGAGCTGACGACGGCGGCGGCGATTCCGCCTGCCAGCGACATTAAACTCTGACTGACTGAGCTCGTCGTCCGAGCTGACAACCGAGGCTCCAACTCCACACCGTAATAACAAAGCCCCTATCAGGGGCCGCTTTGATTCGCGGCGCACGCGGTGCATTCGCGGCGATCAGCTGTCGCTGAGCGACCGCGAGAAGCGTAGAAAGTCTCGCGAGCTCTTTAAAGGAAGCTCGGTGAAGGATAAGGGAAAAACGCGGCCCGCTATTTTTGCGGAGTAAATAGCGTATCGTCTCTCGCTCTCTTTCTCTCGCATTTCAATAAAAAATAGAAAGTTAAGAGGGGAAAAAAATATCGAGAATGATTACAGGTGAACGGAGATATAATGATGCAGGTGTTACGATTAGGCAACAAGGTCGCAAATTCGATTCGAATTCAGAACCGAACGTAGTTTGTGTAGTTTGTTAAATCTGATGAATCGCGAAAAATATTAGTTTTAAAGTATCAAATGACTTCAGGATTTATTTAATTGATATTTGAAGCATCGATATAAACAAAATAATAATATTTAATATATAATTATGCAAGGATAAAAAATAATTTCTCTTCGATATTAAAAGTATTTAAATTATTTGTATTTATGCTTGATCAATTTTGAAAAATTAAAATTTAAAAAATTGAAAAATTAAAATTAAATTAAAATTAATTAAATTAAATAATTAAATTTTCAAACTAAGGTATTTGAAATATATATATCTACATTACTATATTTGGAAATCTCGAGATAAAATTCATAAGTATATATTTTTTAAGTGTGAGAGATAAAATCAAAATGTGTTAGTAGGATTTTTTTTATCAATTTACTACTTTCGGTTGCATTGAATAACTTTCGAGAGAGGAAGAACAGCGAATACAATCGCGAACAATCGCTTTCGAGGAGGAACATCTGGCAGATGCCCCGCTTCGAGAGACAGAAGCTACGCGCGCCTCACAGTTATTTCTCGCAGTTGAAGTGATACACGCGAATTATATTCAATTTTATACAACGGCCTGCACGTATCGCTACACTTTCTGCCTCACACCAGAAACGAACGAACGAATTCCTATGAATTTTCAAACGATGCGCAGCCCACACAATCGACAAAGAAATTTTTCGTTCTGCTTTCTTAAAATCACGTAGGATTTTATATCGTCCACGCAAGATATTTTGGTGTCAATGCATTAAGTAATATATTCCTGATATTCTTCTTTTGTTTTTAACGATTTTTTTATTCGTTTGCAATCAACGAGTTTTCACTTACTCCATTTCTGAATGTGCGTGTTTCTGCAAATATGGAATTTCTAATAACGCGAAATATTCGCGAATATAATGAAAAAGTTATCTTCTAAGAGAAAGAACTATATTATTATAAAATCAAATAAAATAATCGAGATCTTTATTTAAATACGCAATGAATTTTGAATAATAAAAATGCAATGAATTTTGAATAATAAAAACGAACAATTATTTTTCTTTATTAAATATTTTATAAAGTTATCAGATTATTTTAATTTTATGGAAAAATTAATGTTTCTATTAATTAATTAAACTGTCCTGAATGTAAACAAAACAATGTCTTTGATAATATTTTATTTCGCAAATTATATAAGAATTATCCCAGATCTATGAATTTTTAATTATTATTACATAAGTTTATGGAGCGTTAAAAGAAATTAAAATTATGCAATTACATAATCACGCTCGATATAACATCCAATTAAAATTCGTATAACATCCAATTAAAATTCGTATAATAAATAAACTTTGTCGCTGTAAAACGACTTGTGAAAACTTTTATTCGTCTTTAACCTACAACACCTGGAGTATTCAATGTTAAACGAGGCGTTTTAATTCAAGAGAAAGAGAGGGATTGTATCGCGATTACTTCGTATTCCGATGACGTTTCAACAAAGCCTCGTTTGTTACCAATGACGGCCACTCGTGCGTTCTAATTACGTGCTGCATCTTGCCGTATTCGCGCAAGTAGGTGACTGCGAAGCAACTGCGATGAATCTCTCGATGCGTCGAGAGAATCCATCTCTTTGGCGTCATTCGATTCCGAATCAAAGTAAGTAATTTCTCCTCTCCTTATATAAAAATTCGACGCGTTACACCTCCGTGAACAATCGACGGTAAAAGTATATCTACCCCCCCAGCGATATTTCCGGATATGGCTTATTGTTAGTTGCAAGTAATGATTAGTGAAGGTAAATTATTAGGAAGACTGACATTAACGAGCAATCATTTTTATGTAATTTACACGCGTGGATTTAAATCTGATAATTTTTTCCGGGTTTCTTTATAGATATTCTTAAAAATGTTTTTCATATTGTTATTTAAATTTACTTATTTTTATTCAATTAATTAAAATTAAATTTATTTTTATTTTTATACAAGTAATTAAAATTCAAAACTTTTTAAATAATATTGTGTATATTTTAATAATATTGTGTATATATGTGTATATATCTGTTTTTAAAAACTATTTATATTTTTGAATTTTTTTAAATACATATTTGGCTTTTATGTATATTTTTAATTTGCTGACATGAAATTAAATGAAAAATGTTTCGAAAAAAGATATGTATTTTAAGAATAGCTTTATATATACTTCATTAGAAACGGAACCCATCCGATAAATCTAGCAAATCATCAAGAATAACCACGTTTGTTGAACTCGCTGAAGGATCAAGGGCTCCCGTTTGGCCTCTATCTCCGCGAAACACTGCCGTCTAAATATGCCATATTTCGTCGCTAACGAAGTGCCTGACACTCGAGGCTTCTTTGGACCGAATTAATTTCTCGACTCATTCCTCGAAAATACGTCAATACAACTGCTAACCAGTCTCATTGCCTCCTTCATGGAACTGTACTTTATTACTAATGAAAATATTATCTAGAGGCATGATTAAATAGTATTAACTGTTTATCTAGAAACACGATTAAATAGGTAATACTCGGTAAAGTCTTGTAATTCTAAGATGGCATTTTCTAGTTAATGACTCATAAATTGCAGATGAATAACAACCGATAATAATAATGCTATTAGAAATTATAAACATTATAAGCTAGAATTTCTATTCGAATTATATAAAGAAAGTTAAAATTTAATTATTGATATGTAAGATAACATGAATTTATATTATATTATTATTTATATTATATTATTACTTTAATTTATATCTTATTACTGAAATTTTTATATCATGTGCATATCATGTGCAATTTATATAAATGCTTAAGTTTATATTACAGGTCTAAATATAAAGTTTCATGCATATTTTACAGAATACAGTTACGCGCATGAATGGGACAATGCAACCATAAATATGTATGGTAGAGGTATGCGCGTGAATCGCAGATAGGGCGAGATCAATGGCGAAATTGTATAGGGTCACGACTTTGTGCCGTATATATTTACATTCATCCGGTATCCGGTTCGGGCACGTTAGCGGTGCCAGTGAACCGTGATCGAATTTTAATTTTGATTGCAACGTCGAGCTTTCAATGAGTAAATGTTTGCTTTCTCGAAAATTACCTTGATTATGAAATAACATGTTAATAAAAATATGTTAGAATTATTTCCTGAGATTGAAACGAATAAGAATTATGAAATTCATGAATGATTAATTTCAAGTTTAATTCTTCCAAATATTTTAATAAATATTTAAAAAATTATATATTAGATAGAGATATTTTTTTTATATATAAATACTTCGATATTTTTATGTGTAATTTAAAAAAAAAAGATTCAAACGTAATTTCTTAGTTCGAGAAATAATATGGGAGATATCAAACAGTTAAAATAATCAGTTTTTTTCGCTAATTTTCACTGAAGGATAGGGCTATTTTGATCGACACTACATTGTAGTCTAAATCTGTCTAAATCTATTACTGCCACTACTATTCTTACATATTTTATCACAATAAATGCAACAAATGCATTCCACTATCGCCATCTATTGGAGAATGCAAAGAACTTTACCTTTTGATTAAATGCATTCGGTGCAACAGAGTTATTTCACCGATATAGATGATATTAACTGTGTATAACTGTCTTTTTTTAAATAAAAATTAATATTAAAACTAATTCTAGAGTAATTTATATTTTTTCATCTCATGTCCATAAAATAACTTCATTGCTATTTGCTAATAAAATATCAGAAATATAAAATTAATACAATCACTCACCCTTCTCCCTGCAGTCTATTATCAGTTACTTGCATAGGTAACGGTGCCGATAGTTGCCTAACTAATTCGTCTCTCTCCCTTTCCTTCTGCTGAATAGTTTCCTGCAATCTCTGCTTCTGCTTCTGGTACTCCTTAAACAGGCCACCATTATAACTTTGTTCGAGATGATCGCCAGGAGCTATCACCGCTCTAACCGGGATTGCAGTTGGTTCCGTAATTTTCGCCGCGACTCCGGTAGGCTTTTCCGCCAAAGAATCTCTTCTGGAACTCCTAGCAGTCGAGAGCGCCGGTGATTCTCTGCCACCCACTCTACGTTCTGGCGTGGATGTTGCTGAAGGATCCACGTCCACACCTGTAATAGATTATTTATGAAATGACTTAAAAGCTCTCAATGATATAGAACTTTATTTAACAATTCATTTAATAATTCATTAATTGTAGAATTATTAAGACTAAGTATATTAATTAAAATAATAAAAATTTAATATTTTTATTATTAAATAAAAATATAATTATATATGATAAGAATTAAAACTTAGTAATTTTTTTAAGATTCTCTATAAGTAATATTCTATTATTTTATAACTAATATATATAACTAATATATAACTAGTTTAAAATCTTCAAAATGCTATGATATACTTTGTAATATTTACCATCGGGGCTTTTGGAGTGTCCTCTCGTTCTCGGTGGAGCTTTAGGTTGAGCATTCGTCATCTCTTGTATCGAAGGTAGCTGTTGGAACTCGGCGTAATTCGAGCTAAGGAAGACGTCACCCTCGTTTTCGAAGAGCCTATCGACACTGGTGTTCATCAGTTTGTTGTTCTTGAAGCCGGTCAGGTGGAAGCTGGCGAAGGACGACCTGGACATCGGGTTCACGTCACCGATGGACAGCGCCATGAGCGCCGCGGATGGTATAGCCGTGTTCTTGGATCCGGGACTCCTGGGCCCAAGACCGGCCTCCAGAGCCGGTACTAAACTGCGAGACATCATGTCCGCGGCGGATCTAGGTCTGGTGAACGGCATAGCGCTGTGCGGAAAGGTTTTCGGTTTTATCGGCGTTATCAGCATGTGCTCCGTCCACGAGGTCTCCAGAGAGGGTCTCTCCAGGCGCTCCACGTCGACGTTCAAAGTTCTTTGCGCGAAGGGTACAGCGAATGTCTCGGGGGGTATACTTTGGAGCCATGAGAGTAAACTTAAGTCCGAATCGCTGAAGCCTACAGACCCATCGAGCAGCCTCGAGAAACTCATCTCTACCTGTAAATAAAATTAAAATAAATGTATAAAATATATTAAAATATATAAAATTCTTCAAAGAATTCTGAAATATCTGAAATTATCACATTGTAATTATATATGTATAATCTATACATATATAGAAAAATAATGTCGGCATAATTTCAGAATTAATTCTATCAAATTTTTACTGAATCCTTTATAATAAAGTATAAAATACAATAAAATATAAAGACAAAAAGTTAGAATATAAAAATTACCTGCTCGCTCTCTTTCGACCCGGTAGCTTTCGCTTGGCAGTAATTGACGCAGGACTCGTACAAGATGCCCTTGATAATAAGCTGAATGAGTCGATCGTTTTTCGCCGAGGTGACTGGATGCGCGGAGTCGATACTCTTCCTGTCGCCCGGCAGGAATTTCTCCACCAAGGGATGAACTTCGCGGAAACATTGCACCCTAGCGTTGCTGGGATTCCAGTCTTTGTACTGCAAATGATCCGTCAGTCGCGGCAAAGTAAGCAACAAGCACAGGCTGCTGTACTCTTCCTTGGAGGGCGCGACTTTTTCAAGATCGCTCAACACCTTGACGACCTCCTCCACCGCGTTATCGACGCTGCCGTTGGTGCCGGCAGCAATGACGTTCGCTTCCGACTTGATGCACAGCAGCTCGACGTACTTGTGACGCAGGATCGAGTACGTAAATTTCCTCATGTCGAAGTCCGAGAGCGCCTCCAGCGGCTGGATGAATTCGAGAACGTCGTCCCATTGTCCGTCGAGGATCAGCTGACGCAGGAAGAGCACGTCGTCGCTGTACTGGCCGTTTATCACGCCGGTCTCGCGCTCGAGCGAGAGCTGCGAGATGTGAAGGTCACGGCTGTGGAGAAACTCCAAGGTCAGTCGCACCACGTCCTCCTCGCGCAGCGTCAGGTGCGCCGCCGGCATCACGTACCGAATACGCAACCTAGGCAATTTCCACAATAAATTGGCACATCCCAATCGCCAGGAATCGCGAAAGAGGCATCAATCTCCGCAAGAAGGATGCCTCGCAAGAAAGTATCTTTTATCGAGAGATAAATTACAGAGAAACTTTGTAATTGGCTTTAATATTGAACCGTTATATAAAATTAAAAATTTGCATTCCGAAAGTTTTATGAAAACGTTCATAGATATTATCTGATAATCAAGCATATGTTAAAGTACGAGAGAGAAAGAAAGAGAGAGATCATTGTTTTAAAAAAATAGACATATTTCAGCTTTTGTTTCCTAATATTTTGAATTACAAATTTATGAAAGCGTCTAAAGAAAATTAGAAAATTTGTAGAACTTCTCTCTCTCTCTCTTTTTAATTTCCAAAAATTATATGCAAATTTATAATATACAAAAAAAGTTTAATATATAAAAATTACATAAATATATAAAAACATATAAAATATAAAATAATATATAAGTAATATAATATAATATTATATTATGCTATTTATACATTATTTTATATTTTATATATTTTTATATAGTTATGTAATTTTTATATATTATACTGTTATTACTTTTATATAAAATAATATATAATATAATATAATATATAAAAATTACATAAATAATAATAAATTATATAAACAATGAATTATATAAATTATATGAGAATAATAATAAAAAATATATAAAATATAAAATATTATATATTATTTATACATAATATATGTATACATAATATATATAAAATATATAAAAATAGAATATATAAAAATTACACTCAGAAAGAACAAACATTCTTATTCTCAGAAGGATTGAATTATTATCACGAATGGAATAATTTGATGCCGCATTAAATTACCGAGTTTCAGCTTGGTAAGATGATTTAGCTTTGGTTTCAACTTTCGCGTGTAATGCAAGATACGAACAATGCGAGAACAATGAGGCAAACGAAAGACTTCTAAGAGATACCTTCTAAGAGATGCCTTCTCAGAGATGATATATTCGAAGGTATGGCTTCTACAACGAGAGAGAAGTCTAGATCTAACGTCTCGGCAAAGAGCCACCCACTTACGCGATAATCAGGACACATCTACTGGGTGCGCTGGCCCCAAAGTGCAACGAACTCCCGCGAGGAAGTGCATTTTCGCGCATTCCATATGTATACGTTCATATCATTGCCGGATTTTGCAATCGCGTGTTATAACGAACGGAAATCCGAGTCAATCAAACAGTCATTCAACCAACAGTCATTCAGTCAATGAACCGATCATTAGAGTTTCGTTCGTCAAATCAATCAACAAAAACACCTGTATCTATTATAGTCAACTAATACTATTCCAACGATTTTTTAGAATGACTAACAATGCGTTTCTTTCTTTCTCTTTTTATATTTGCTGGCGTTCGTGTTTCTACCTCGAATAGTTTTAGCCACAATATGCAAGCTAATCAAATTACAAAAGAATATGAAATTCATTACATCAGCAAATTCATTGGTTATTTACGCTTAGCGACAGACCGAAGATTCGTATCAGTCTCGAGGAAACTGCAGCAAGAGCAACAAGAAATCATGACGTTCACATGTCGACAAATAGTAAGTAAATTTTTCTTACATTTATTTTATCAGAAATTAATTTTGTAGATTCAGAGTTTCAATAATTAATCTTTGAATATTTAAAAATTAGCACCAATAAAAAATTCTATAAAAATTAGTGCATAATAAAATTAATATAATTTAAAAAATGTATAATAATGTTAGGGGATAAATTTTCATTGTCGAAAATTTATTCGAGAATAATTTAAAATATGTTTACCTAAACGTTACAGATTCTAGCGATGATAATTTCGTCGGCAAATATCATATTTGGTGACATTCTGGTTCAACCCGGTTACGAACATCAATATAGTCACAATCCGTCTTATCTGCCATACCAGACTGCCTCACGTTACAAGGTGTCGTCTGCGGCCGAACAGCATGCAAAACAATTAGCAACTCAACCCTTGAAGCAATATCCTTCGGGAGTTCGGATAGTGCATCCCTATTATGTACCGGAAGTTCACCAAGACAAAGTTCGATCAAACTTGATGGGATATCCATTTCATTTACTACATCATTATCCTCTTCATCACTACGTATCAACGAAACCTGCCCACACCTTACCCTACGTGAAGCTAGCTCGTGAATATATGCAACCCTCAGTATTCATCGCTCACTCCAATCCTTTGGTAAATATTTATCACGTATCAGAGAGTTATTTATAGCAAAACAAAAATAATATTAAATCATGAAAAAGATACAATTAGAAAAAACATCATTAATGTCATAATCATTATGAAAAAAATAACATTTTTATTTCTTATTAATTCAATTTTGCAAAATTTCATATTAATATCATTTTACGATATTTGATATTTCAATGTAATATTTTTTAATACGCATAAGATCAACTTATAAATATATGTATGATATGTCGTGTTATTAATTCAAATAATTTCATTCTTCCTTTTTTGAGCCTTTTTAATTATATATAAAATAATAATAAAATACTAATACTCTTTAATGTATTTTATATAACTAAATAAATTTGCGATTTTCTGAAGATTCCTTAAGTACAATAATATTTTTTTCAGGTAGCACACTACCGGCATAAAAGGTCAACCGATTTTACAAACGTCAAATCTAACATACCCGCGATCGCTACACATGATGTGGCCACGAAGCCGTCCTTAATCGACGCCAAATATTCTACAGCTATCGACTCGCTGCTTCCGGAAAGCAAATCTACCGATACTAATGGTAAATACTTAACAAACAGTCACCAAGTTATATCTCAAGTTCCCTGATTCGCCATTTATTTCAAAAGTTTTGCATTCCAGTGTGAAATACGAGCATAAACTATAATGTAGTTAATTCTAAAATAATTATTTTTCCATAATAAACTATTCCATTACAGATAAGCATGTAAAGACCCAAAGCGATTTTGCAGCAAACTCATTTTTATTTGGTTTAAATCCGAATAAGATGTACTCCAAACTTAAAACCGAAAATCTAGACGACAAAAAGGACGAAACACAGCATCCGATTTCTAAACGTAATCACGCCACTTTAATTACGCCACTCACGCCATTAATTCTGACCCAGCCATTTACATCAGATTCTACTAAAGCAACAGTAACCGAACCGGCGCAACAAACGTCGTCAAGTTCCCAGAAAAAAGGACCAAGTCAAGAGCCATCTCCTAATCACGAAGACCCACATCTCACTCCCAAGCCATCTTCTACAAATTTGGAGCAATCTATGAGCCCGATAACTATATCTCAAGAGTCAGAAGAGGAATCGCAAGAAGATGATAGCAAATATTATAACGACTATCGCACATTTACTTTGCCAATAACGTCAATAGCATATCGTCCAACAATACCATTCGTATATAAGTTTTGGCCAAGTTATATAACGTATGATACCGAAATGCATCCGAGTAAGAAGAAATACCTAGATCAGCAAAATATATTTAATTATCTAACCCGTCAATCATCCAATCAGACATCTTCGCAGGTGAGAAGATTCTACGAAATATTGACTTAATTCATTTCGTATTCTTAGAATTTTTTAATTTTTGTTCGATCTATAGAAATTTAATTAATTATTAAAATTAATGATAACGATTATTTTTTGTGTAGATACTTTCTATTAAAATCTAAAATTTAATTCAATATAATTAATATAAAGTTCAGTTTATATTAATCTGCAATCTAAATTAAAAACAAATTAGATTGCAGTTTATCTGCAATCTAAATTAAAAACAAATTGGACGTTTTCTCTTATGATGTTTCTAGGATATATCTTCTAAAATTATGTAAAAATTAAGATTCATGCTTTTAATGTACTTATAATAGCTTCTAAAATATTTATAATAATAATTAATTAATGAAAACTTTGTTGATTAATTTATCAGCAATCTTTGGATACATTTTCTTGCTTTCAAAAATGGAAATTTTTGAAAGCAAGAAAAATATAATAAGTTAATATCTTTATTTTTAAAAATATAATAAGTTAATATCTTTTGAAAATAAATTAATCGTATTATTTTGTTCAATATAATATTATACACATATATGATTAACAAAATATAATTTTCTTAGAAAAGAGAAATATCTTCGCAAAAGTAACGGATATATTTTGCATCTCTATTCACAGGAAACTACAAATTTCGGCGCAACCAACATAGACCAACCAAAGAACAGAGAGCTTACGACACATCTTTGTGCGGGTGGGATTCCGTGTTCTATCAGCAATATAAAAAAACCGCCTAGTGAGTCCATATCAAATATACCTATACTAACTCCAGAACAATCTCCTACATATTCCAATATAAGAAAACTGCCTAGTGAGCCTATATCAAATATGCCTACACTAACTCCAGAACAATCTCCTACATATTCCAATATAAGAAAACTGCCTAGTGAGCCTATATCAAATATGCCTACACTAACTCCAGAACAATCTCCTACGTATTTCTATAAAAACAAGGAATTTTCTCCAAGAAACGAGATGATCAGTGCGCCAAATCCTGGCACGCCGCAAGTTTTCTATGCAATTCCGGACGATAGTGTAAACTATTATTTCAACGACTATCAAGACAGTATGAAAGACTATCTGGACAATTTAGAGACAGATTATCCAGACTACGACGACAAATCTACATTTCTGAACGACGGTTTTAATCTCTACTTGAAAAAAAATTCCGCGTATTCGAGCAATGTTCCTTCGAATAAAATTGACTATTATAATTATGACAACATACTTTACAGAAACAGCAATCCTCAAAGAAACGTAGCACCGTTGTATGTCGTCCCGATCTCATCGCAAATGCGACTTTCAGATTATTATCCGAAAAAAGCGAGGAAGGCTTACGCCACTTACAAGCCGCAACATTATTACAAGGATTACATATACGATACGAAAAACCAAATAGTACCAAACGTATATTATCGCCGTGCACCGTATTCGCCACCTGTTTATTATTAGTAGGGCACTATTATAGATACGATGCTGTTATCGATTCGTACCACGTTACCTTGAAGCAACGAGTCGATTGACCATAATGATTTTTCATGATCCATTTATTATAATTACTCTATCATGCCGGGCATGTGTAACTTTATTTAGACAGGCACGCATGTTTCCCTCATCATACTCCGTCCGCTCGTTTTATCAGAATAAACTTTTACGTATTGTTTTCTATAAATAGAGAATAAGATACTTTAATTCGATTTTTTAAGTTTTATATGTACCAAGTTTTCAAATAAATGTGTTTAAAAGATCGTTTTCTCCTACATTTATTTAATGCTGTGGATCACCATCGCATCATAAAAGATAGTCTTAATTAGAATCCAGAATGATTGGCACATTTAAAATATTAACTTTTTAAAATATTAATTTATTACAAAACTCTTAATCATAATGTTAACTGCGAAGATGTATGAATCTGAAATATCCTGTATCTACAGATGAGTCAATTAACGAGAGGATATTTGCACGATTAAACGAAAGCCTATTATATTTCAGTGCAATACCCGGATTTTATGTCGGAAATTATTTCTCATGACGATGTATAAATCGATGAATGGAAAGAAAAAACTTTCACCGGTAAACTCAACTCTGATTGTCCCTGGTATAGATGTACGCAGTGATGAAACGAAAATTCAATTTCAGACAATTTGCCGGGACAGTTAATTGAGCTGAGCGCAGGTATCGAGGCGTCGTCGTCCGCCTGCAAAACGCGCGATCGCCGGAAAAGGAGGGCAAACACCGATCGAGAGCAATTTCTGATCGCCCCCGAGGCGCATCCTCTCTGCGATGAAATGCAATTTCTTCAATTCCCTCATGAGATACGCGAATATTCGTCTTTCATTACAAATGCCGGAAGAGCAGAAATATCATACGATTCGAAAGAGCGTTGAAAAGGAACGTTGATCGAGGAGAGAGTTATATTAATTACATTTTCCCGAATCGACGTTTTAATGAAGGAGTATTCAAACTACCTGATGAGATGACACAGTGAAATAATAATCGAATAGTTGAGATTCTACGCGAAATCAATCGCGATATTCATTGATCGAGGCGCATCGTCCATTACTTTCAAACGTACACATGTGAGACTGATAACTGGCAATCGTGTAACAAGTCGTAAACCCGTCGTATAATAACGTGTCCCGAGGTAACGAAGCACTGAGGCGGTTAAAATAAGCTGAAAGTTATAAAACGAGACGTAAAAGGTATCCATCTGTGTTTACAACGATCTAATTATCATCGTTGCGTGAGTTGCGTTATCGCGATCAAATTTAGTCTTTAGCATATTGAAAATTTCTCTTCTTCATTTTTTTTATTTCTTTAAATCCTTTCCTATTCCGACAATGAAGTAAAAGTTTCAATAATAGATTTAGAAAATAAAAAAAAATTGTGATTGTATTTGTATTGCACAATATTGCACAAAAGCGCGATATCGTTGTCGGACGCGATTGATTGATCGATTCGAGATTTACGAAAAAGTGCATTCACCAGACGGAAGTTACAAATTGTTGGCGTAAGCGTTCCATAACCGTTTGGCGTAATAACATCCGGGAATCGACCATTACGCTCGTAACAGACGAGTTAACCTGGCTTAATTAAGCATTAATTAACCGTCAACAAGGAACCTTAATTATATGTCAAAACATAAGACCTATTATCACTCTATATTAATTAGTATGAACATAAATTAACAATATTGACGAGATTTAAGAATCTTTAAATTATCATCTACATAAAATTAGAAAAAAGCATTATTTAAAAAACAATAGGTTTAGAAAAAAGAATATTATATATATATATATATATATATATATATATATATATATAAAATGTAGAAATAAAATATATAAGTTAAAATATATTCGTATAGAAATTTATATTCATATTCTTGAATATTTAGATCTTAAGTTTCATTGGCTTGTATAATTCTCGAATTTTTTAAATATTTTACTTGAAAACTTGAAGATTTAATTGATTTAAAAACTTGGAGAATTTTTCAAGTCTTTGAATCTCTTTTCTTCATATTATTTATTCTACGAAGATCTTTGAATTTTTGAAATCTTCTCTCTTTATAATAAACGAAGCGTAATGCAGTTTCTCAGTAAAAATATACTTTTAACTTCAATTCGCGAGAACGAAGAAACTTTAAACGCAAAAAACGCTGTTTGAATGAATTTCAGGAGGAATACTCGTGAGTTACAATGACTTAAACTCGCTGAATGCATTCTATCGCCCTCAACTTCAACTTTAACATCTCCTTGACTCCTCGTCGTCCTCGTTTCCCATGTCGTTCGTTAATGCTAGCTTTCCAACATCTCCATGTCCATCTCCGACAAGAACCATTCCATTAATTTTAGAGTGCTAATATAATTTTAATGATTGGCTATTGCTTGCATTAGAGAGATTCAATTATTTATTTGATTTTTAATTACTTTAATTATTTTGATAGATTACATAATTAATTTTAAGCAAATGCAACAAGAGAAAAAATAAAAATTAAATAAAATTAAAAGTTACAACGAAAAATTACAACAATTTGAAACTTTCTCCGGGGTTCCCCTGTTAGCATTCTAGAGTTAATTTATGCCGCAACCCTTGAACAATCCAATATAACGGCGCAGCCTGTCTTGCCTTTGGCGCAGGACAGAATTAATCGGGCATGCAAAACGAGAGACGAGACGAGATATCGTTTTCGCGTAGGTCACTTTACTTTTCCGCATCTATCGATTTCTCCAGTTCACCGCATGATAAACGTTTGTAAAAACTATAGATCGCTGATTTCTCATTTATTTTAATAAATTAATATTCATAGGTAATATTAAATTATTGTCAATTATATCATACGTTTCATATTAATATATCTTCTCCTAAATTTGCATCATCAAAAAAAGTCCAGCTAATCTCTTATTCCTTCGTCTCATAATTTTATGTAATTTAACATATAAACCAATTATATTTTAAATTAAATTCTGTCAAAAAATTACACTTTACAAGGCAAACGAAAAGGATGTGACTCTTCATATTAATACACTAACGTAAACAGGATTTTTCTGAGGAAAAAAGCGGAACTCGTGATTGGATGGAAACCGCGCGTTCAAGAATTTATATTACCCGGAGGAAAAAAAGCAGAGGAGAATATTGTCGCATGGTGCCTATCTCCGGGTAAATCAAGCTTCGAATACCGGTACTGGTCTTGACTTACGGGGTCTAAGCTGACCCGCTGAATACCCTCCATTACTGGATAGCTAATGGTTCCTTTACGCGGTACTCACCGCAAAAGATGGTCCCCTCTGGGAATCTTGCTTCTGGTTAATGAAAAAGTAAAAACGGGAAGCTTGCTGAGGTGTGCTTGCCCTTTTCGCACGTTCGACTCCTGGATTTTCAATATCATATTATTCTAAGAATTAATATTAACGTGCGGATCCCTGCTAAATTAAATCTACCAACGCTCATTCCTCGGTAGATTAAATTCCTCGTTAAATGCGTCTCTAAATTAAGCTCCTCGTGAACCCCACTAAATTCAAAGAATTCAAGAATATTTCGGTTATAATATACACATGTAATAAATTCAAAACGTCGTTAATAATATCGTTTCTTCCCACGAAACTAAATCCTGCCATATTTCTCCCGATGACTCATCTCGGTGTGTCTTAGTCTCGTGTGCAGAAACGAAATTACTGACGATGCTCTTCTCTTATAGATAATCACTGGTGGCGTGTGTCGCTATGTATATGGAAGACCATCTCTAGCTATTAGGACGGAAAATCCGCGCGATATAATAGAGAAGACATAATAGAAGGGAGAAAATGAACAAGCTGAGGCGAACGGACAACCGCGACCATTATCCGATAAGCCTTAAATTGCATTAGAGAGAAAAAGTGAAATTGAACCATTAAGATATTATTTGCTATCGATGCCTACATGTGCAAATCAAGCTGTTTGAAATGCTCGTGTAAATCATAAATGAGCGAAATCGAGATAAAAATCATACGAGTCTATTAAAGTTATCAGCGAAAACATTGTGATTCAGACTGCAAGCTCGCATCATTGCATGAGTCACTTTACTCGAACTAGATCTTACCTTTGACGTAAAAAATATTATAGATAATGATAAAGAGAACGGAAAAGAGATTAAAAATAGAAGATATTTAAACAAGAACAATTTTATATAAATAATATATAAAACAGCCTATTTATTGTCAAAGTAAAAGGCAACTTCCATAAATTATTTTAAGTGTCATATAACTATTTTAAGCAAGATATAATTTTTGATTATTTTATTAAAGGATTGGAATTTTAAAAATTGATAAAAATTGAATGAAAGATTAAAATAAAAATTATTAGAATATTATTGTTATTATTATATATTAGTTTAACATGTTAATATTATTACATATTAATTTAATGTGTTGATAAAAAGACTCATCACAAATATTAATAAAAATTTGTTATAATCATTATATTCATCTTACATTGTAGTCACAATTTATAGATAATTATTAACGAATATTACGAATATATAAATAATAAATATATTTACTTCTTTTGACCCGCGCGTTTATACGTGGCGGACATTCACGCGAGTCAAGAATCCCGTAGCATATCACACACACGCGCGACGCAAATTTTTAGAAAAAGATGCCTGAGAGTAAAATTGACGGAGCACGTGACGTACGAGTGACGTCTCGCGACGCACTGGCTCGGTCCCACGGTCGGGCGTCCCGACGCCGCTGCGACGGCGCCGGAAGTGACACCCTCGCGATTACGCGCGGCGCGCACGCAGGATCGCGTCGCATGTGCAAAAGTGACCGTGCAAGGAAATCGATCACGAGGGGGTCGGTCCCGGGGTGAGTAACCTCGGCGTCACGAGGCGAGGGGGGATCGTGACGTCATTGGCGAACATTTAAATCCGTTATACGAGAAATATATTGGCGCGGAACGGTGTGTATGAGGTCAAGGTGCGAATGAAAAAGTGGCTGTCTAAATTATTGGAATCGACTTGAGAAGAAAACGATGTACGCGAGTTC